ATAAAAAAATGTATCAGTGAAGATGTGATAGCAGGATATAGAAAATGCTAATAGCCCAAGTCAGAAGGGGAGATATCACAATTGTTTAGCACACGTTTAGTCAAAGGATCGGCTTCACTTGTCTTTTTGACGAGTTGTGTGGTGCTAAAACTGGCGAGACTCACTGATGATGCCGGCAAACGTCTGGGAATGTACCACATCCACGGTCCGATTTTGGAAATGATCATGCATACCATGGACTCCGGGTTAGTTACATTCTTCTAAGTCTCCATACGAATATGACCAAGTTGCGAAAACAAGGTCAAACAACCTCTATACAACGAAAGGAGACTGCGACCACACAGAAGGCTACACCACCTTGGTCTTCATACCCTATTCTAAACATAGTTGCAAAAAGTAAAGAATAACTAAGAAATATAGACCCCATGATTCATTTTAATATTCTCTTGGAATATCAGAATTAAGTTAAATTTCTTTCTGGGTAAATCTGTCTGATAAAGAGGTTCGTAGGTGGATCTCATCTAAATATAGTGGTAGGTCAGCTTGATGTGTTGTTAGTTGGTACTACTGGGACGTTCAGATTGACGCAGTCCCCAAGAGGGCGGAAATGTGTTAGGCCTTAATCTTTCAAATGACGGCAACTTGCAGAAAAAGGCACATTTTAAAATAAACCTCAAGCTTACAAATTAAGAAAACTAATTAGTTACTCTTTCCTCACAATATACACTCACATAGCTACCTATTAAATACCAGATATGAGAAAATTTGTTATTTTCTTATGTGTAGATCAATCAGTATGTCTGCTTGTGTGTACAGGCATACAACATAAAATTGAGAGGCCCGAGTAACCGAGACAGAGTAAAAGTTTCTGTTGATACTGGAATATCCTTCGTTTCGTTTGAGAAGGCAGATGGTAGAGATTAGTAAATTAAAAAGGAAACCCGCATTTTTGAGCTTCCCATAAACATCCACACCCTATTAGCTTCCTTCTTTGATAGCTAGGACAAATAAAAAGGGTGGCCTACTGTCATTTTCAAATTGAATAGTGAAATTGGTCGCTCTATTTACTCTCTTCGTTACCCTAAGGAAATCTTCCACGCATTCTGTTCCATGCTGCAAATATCAAAGTAGTCATCTATATATCTAATCAATAGTTTAGGAACTAGGAGCGTTACTTGAAAAAGCCAGACTTCCAAATAAGCCATGTAATTATTAGCTACAATTGGAGAGAAACACAATCCCAAAGCTAAACCTCGGGTTCGCTCGTATAATTTACCATCAAAGAAAAAGTATGTACTATTTATTATTAATCGAAGATATGAAGAAAAAGATTGTGTAGCCCCCGGAATGGTCGCAATCTCCTTTCAATGTATAGAAGTGGGTTTACCTGGTTTTCGCAACTTGGTTTTGTTGTCAGGGCGATTTGGTAGAACGTACCTCGTCGGGAGTCCTCTGCTATAGTAGTTATCATAATTAACAGCATCAGAGCGTGGAATTGGTACATTCTCAGACATTTCCCTGGCATCGTAGTTGCATCCTCTGTGAGTGTTGCCATTATAAGCAAATAATAACGCCAAGGAAATCATGCATTCTAAAAAGGGTTTTGGTATATCTGAATCGCAATAACCTAATTGTTATGAAAACCGACAAAGGTGGAGCAGTAGGAGTCATGGTTAGATCAAGTTATCTAGAAACGATGCTAATTCATTTAAATGACACAGACACATAAAGGTCTTTACTAAGAGATGTAACAGAAATACCTAAGACTTTACTGGAGGATGCCCTTAAGGTATGCATTAGTAATGGTGAAATTGAGAAGTTGAAAATGAATTCACTATTCCAGAGAGATGTAAGGACCCCCACGGCTTAAGGTCTCCTTAAGCTTAACAAAGAGGATGTCCCTCTTAAAATAATAGAAAATAATAAAGGAAGTGTGATGCATAAAAAATCACGCTTTTTATGCATACGATTACGAAAGGCTGCGGATTTTTTGTTATATTCAGGTAAAGATTCATGAAAGTTTGTGAAATTGATTGATCAGCAGATACTTTCAGAGAAGGATAGGCTAGTAAGTTTTTATGTTGTGTCTATGTACGCAAATATTCCTGTTTAAGTAGCCATTCAGGATATAGCACAAACGCTGGAGGAGCATCCAGAGATCATAGGAATACAGTTAAGTATAGCCACAATTCTTAGACTTTTAACTCATAAATAAATATCAGCCATTTTACCATTGATGGCAATTTTTATAAAGACACAAGGACTTCCGATGGGACCTTGTTTTATTCTCATCTTGGCGAACTAGATAAACAAACTTGATGAACACAATTTGGAACAGGCAATAATAACCCCTAAATTGTTGGCTAGATACATGGATGGCTCGCTTGTGATCTGGCTGGATGGTAAGGAAAGCTTAGAAAGTGTCCCACTTTCACATACAAAATCTGAAAGGAATATTAGATTCACGATAGAAATAGTAGAGGATAAGTCCTTATCGTTTTTAGATGATCTGATCATTATAGAAAATGGTAAGTTAGGAAAATATGTTTATAGGAGGCCAACGTACGTTGGTTCTTTTAAGAATTTTCTTCCCAACCATAGTTACAAAACAAAGGTTAAAATTTTAAAATCAAAGATTATTAGAAGTATGTGACTAGCGGATAGCAACCATTTGAGTTAAAACAAGGTAGGTGTTGATAAGACCTAAGCGAGGTTGAAACTGCAGCCTACTCTGGACGATAACAACTGTTAAGAAAGCAAGGCTATGTAAAATGCAATGAAAAACATCAGCTCTACTCATATCATTGTGAGAAAATTCTACTATCAGTCTTTCATTACCTAAAACGAAATAGAGTAAATACATTTCATATAACTGATTTACTGGTAGTCTCGAAAGTCTGCTTATATACAAAAAATAGGTAATGCAGTCGATTGTTATCTCAAAAATAGGCTTGCTTCACCGACAATCCCACCAAAGAATGTGATATGGAAAAAACCTGGCATTATTTGAAATTCGCATCTGCCCTGTGACCAAAGGGCACTCGTCGTAATATTGCTGATTGGTTAACGCATCAAGCTTACATGATGCACTGTCACGGTTCGACTCCCGCTGGGGGAGTTGATAAGACCTAGACGAAGTCAAAACTGCAGTCCACTCTGTATAAAAACAATTTTTTGGAAACCAAGGCTATGCGAAATTTAATAGAAACGTCAGCTATACTCATAACATTGTGGGAAAATTCTACTAACAAGCCCCTATAACCTTAAACGAAACATAGTGAATACATCTCATAAATATTGTGCAGCGGCAAGTAAGTTGCCTAATCGCATAGTTAGGTACCTGGAAGTACGCACATGAAAACTCAAGTTTATCAGGATCCAAAAAAAACAAACCTTAGATGGGTCTGAAATTCCGGGTCGAAATTGCAATCCGAGACTGTGTTGAATTTTGCCTTTTTTTCGAGTGGATTTAGGATGTTTGATGGGTTCGCCTTCTTCTTCATATTGATGAGACTCATCTGAATGGTGTCGCTTCCTTGGGGTCAGATTCAGAATATCAGATTCCTTGTGATCGAAATCTACTACTTTCATTTGTTCCTTTTTCTGTCCTATACTCAAGCCTTGACTTTTATTATATTCTTCTGGGCCATTGAGTTTGGTCTGTCGGCTTCTCTTGCTGTCAAAAATACGGTCAGCAGAATTAGTTGCATAATTCGAGGAGCCAGCGGCAGAAATTTCATGAGAAAACGTCAAATTGTGCTCAGATTCACTATCAGTACTGAGCTCTGAATCGATGTATGGATGCGCCTCGTCTAATCTTGACTCACAGCTTGTTGCTTGATCGCCAGAAAGCGGAATACGTCGAGTAACTATCTTTCCCTACAAGAAATTTTGAGTCAAAAGTAATGAGATTAGTGGATTAACTATCCTAGAGATAAGAGATTAATAAAAAAGCAAAAAACCATATTAATAAAGCTTTATTTAGATGCCTAAAAGACATGTGTAGAGCCAGCAGATTCTGCATGAAGTTACGTAAATGAAGTGATAACTAACCTAACAAATGTTTATCTTCCAATTTCAGAAGCGTCATATTTTACCTATTGAAGTATTTATGCCTGCAAAGTATTCTATTTTCCTAACCTATGAATCATTGGCATGATAATTTATTCCTTTGACGATGCCTCATTAAGTGATGGAAACGGTAACTTATGAATCGAGAAATCCTTTTGACGACAGCATATATATAATAAGGTATGTAGAAAAATTGTGTTTCGAAGATTCCCTCAATAGATTGATGTTGGAGTACCTTTCATTTCGTTTGAAGAGGCAAGTGCAAAGGATTCATAAGTTGGTCTCACTGGAACCTGTAGAAGGATCGCCTTGCCTCTGCGGGGGTCGTAGGACGATGTACCGAGGACTTATTTGCACAAATCTGCAATTGCAAAGACAATCCTCCTACAGCTTCCGATAAGACCAACATACAAATCCCTTCCACTCGCCTATTAAAACGAAATGAAAGGTGCTCCAATATAGATACACTAAGCTACTGAAATAAATTTGACATTCATTAATTAATTGTCGAAATCTTTTACCTATAACTCCTGTTCTCTTGATTTGTTCTCCATTAACTTGGCAGGCGTTTGAAAAAGGGGAAAAGTTTAAGCTTGCGTTTAAGTTGTTCATTACGAAAATAAAAGCTGATGCCGCCAGCACCTATATATATATGTTCTACTCTACAGAGAGATATTAGAGGGACTACAATATGTGCCATGCTCAAAAGGAATGTACTGCATCCACGGTCCGAATTTGGAAATAATTATGCATACAATGGACTTAGGATA